CGCCTGAGTTCAGGTTGCAATATATAAATGATACATCGAATATACAATACCATACATGTCCCTATTTGAATCAATCTCATATTCATTGAGTACATTCAAATAGTGGTAATATATTCAGTATCATTCAGTAACGTTAACAATGTTAACGTCATGTTGCATTTCATATTCTTGAACTGGAATGGGAATTATCACAATAAAGTAATAAATACCATTCGACAAACAGTGTTATGAACTAGCCACACTGTAGTAGTTTCATTAACAACCCTGAACCAGACGTGCCGAAGGGAAAACCCAACGGCGCTATGCGTTCAAAATTTTACCACTCTAAGCGTCTGCAATTCGTGGTAAATAACGCAGCTAGCTGCGTTTTTCATCGATACGCGAATCGACCGATCCATCGCTGAAGCTAGTCAATTGTGACACATTTCTGTGTACACATTTCTGCAAACTTTAAACATAAAAAGTTGTGTTTTATAATGGCGTCTAGGCGAGATCATTAAGGTTTCCTGACAGCCAGGTACCGTACATACTACACGTATGTACATAACCACCATTATAAATTTTATAGTGGCGTCTAGGCGAGATCATTAAGGTTTCCTGACATCCAGGTACCGCACATACTACACGTATGTACATAACCACCACTATAAATGATTAAACATAAAAAGTTGTGTTTTATAATGGCGTCTAGGCGAGATCATTAAGGTTTCCTGACAGCCAGGTACCGTACATACTACACGTATGTACATAACCACCATTATAAATTTTATAGTGGCGTCTAGGCGAGATCATTAAGGTTTCTGAATCCAGGTACCGCACATACTACACGTATGTACATAACCACCACTATAAATGATCAAACATAAAAAGTTGTGTTTTATAATGGCGTCTAGGCGAGATCATTAAGGTTTCCTGACAACCAGGTACCGTACATACTACACGTATGTACATAACCACCATTATAAATGCAATGAGGCGGTATTATAGCAATACTCATTAAGTCTCAAGCTCAACCATAACCAACCATTGGAATGGGAACTTTGCATGAACAATCACAGTCGCCACTCATGAACGACTCATGTCATACATAGACACCTCAAATATAGAGCTTTAACGGGGGTGATACTCCCAACGTTTCACGACAAAGTCGTGAAAAAACTTGCATGTTGGTTTCTCATAATCAAAGGAACCATGTGTATTGGTTTCGACGATGATCCATCTGCAGGTTCACCTACAGATACCTTGTTACGACTTTTACCCGGTTCAAGCCATTGCGATTGAACTGTTTCCCGCCATACCGCGACCCGAAGGCCTCGATACAGCAGTCCGCAGTCCTCTCGAGACAGCTCAGTCCCGGACAGCGACGGGCGGTGTGTACAAATGGCAGGGACGTAATCAGCGTGAGCTGATGACTCACACTTACTAGGAATTCCTCGTTCAAGGGAAATAATTACAATTCCCTATCCCGGTCACGGAAGAGTTTCAACGGTTTACCAATGCCTTTCGGCAATGGATAGGCCAGCTGATTCTTCCATTGTAGCGCGCGTGCAGCCCCGGACATCTAAGGGCATCACAGACCTGTTATCGCTCAATCTCGTGCGGCTAAACACCGCTTATCCCTCTAAGAAGTAGACTGGACATAAAAATCCAGCCACTATTTAGCAGGCTAGAGTCTCGCTCGTTATCGGAATAAACCAGACAAATCGCTCCACCAACTAAAGAACGGCCATGCACCACCAACCACCAAATCGAGAAAGAGCTTTCAATCTGTCAATCCTTACGGTGTCCGGGCCGGGTGAGTTTTCCCGTGTTGAGTCAAATTAAGCCGCAGGCTCCACTCCTGGTGGTGCCATTCCGTCAATTTCTTTAAGTTTCAGCTTTGCAACCATACTACCCCAGGAACCGAAAGACTTTCGTTTCCGGGAAGCTCCTCGACAAGGCAACAATACCCCATCGGATCGCTAGATGGCATAGTTTACGGTCAGAACTAGGGCGGTATCTAATCGCCTTCGAGACCTATTGACTTTCGTTCTTGCATAAGAAGAATTTGGCAAATCTTTCCTTTAGGGGAGTCCACTGCGGTCACGTAATGTTCACCTCTTCGCCATGTAGAAGCCTCGATTGTCCCTCTTAACCATTATTTCAGTTCCTGAACCAATAAATAGAACCAAAGTCCTCTTTTATTATTCCATGATCGACCATTCAAGCAAACGCTTGTTCTGAGCACTCTAATTTATTCAAAGTAAACTCGCTAGCCACTAAAGACCGAACGCAATAAGGAAAAACCACAAATAGTACTAACAGCGTTAACGCCAAAGCGAACCATGATTGTAATAGATCCAATACACTTAACGCAGCAATGACGATTTACACTAGTGGAGCTGGAATTACCGCGGCTGCTGGCACCAGACTTGCCCTCCACTTGATCCTCGAAAAAAGGTTTATGATCAACTCATTGAAATGACCGTTCCATAGGAATGGTCTTTTTATTTTTAGTCACTATCTCATCTCTTCAAGATTGGATAAGTTTCGCGCCTGCTGCCTGGGATGTACGGTCTAAGGTCCTCCCGGAAGTCGAACCCTGATCTCCGTACCCGTAATAATCATGGATTAGATAAAGTGACTACATCAATGCTTGATAGGCAGACACTTTTTCGAAATCGCGACAAGCGCCGATAGCGCTATATCAGACAGACAAACTTCATCAAGATCTTATTACCTAATAATGCACTTCCAAATCAGGGTTTAATCGATATTACTTCAGATTTCCGTTCAGTTACGATACATTTACGACATCTGCTCTAATGAGCCGTTCGCAGTTTCTCTTTTAGATGAACTCGACATGCATGGCTTAATCTTTAAACTGAGCATATAGCGCTGACAGAATCAATCAGGTAAAAGTCGACATTTGTGAACAATCTCATACAATTGGTATTCGCAGGCTACCAGCATTGCCTACGTCTAGCAATCCAATCGCACAATTGAGATATTCACAATGTTTGCATTTTCGCAAAGCACCAACATTTCAAATATTGGAAAATCACATTGGCACATAACGATACCCGTTTTCATTCGTGAAACTTTGGGAACACAGAAATCATTCTCGTCGAAAACGAAAATGTTTCATCCCAACCTCACAATAACAGCCGCGACCATCCACAAGGTACAGGGCTGCGCTAGATTCATTTATAAACTAGTCTATAACATATTCATTATATACAATATATGGATATATCCATATATCCATATATACTCTATAGGTTATAATATGATATTGAAATTACTCTATCTCC